TGACAATCTCCAGCACCAACAATATTGCTGCCACCACTAAGCCAACATCCCAACCACCACCACCAAAATATTAGATCCACAAAATCACCACCACCCCCACCCCCACCCCCACCTCCACTAACACGATCACCACCAACAAAATCACTACACAACCACAGCAAAATAAGCATAATCACCATCACCACCGTTTACATAACACTAACAACCACCAATAAAAACAGCCTAAAAACTCGTGATACATCGAACTGAGACACTAGCAATGTTACTTGAGGAATCCTTCTCGGGTAGTGATTGGAGCCAGCAGCGTTGCGACGCCACACACCTATGCACATCGTCGCTACTGTGGACGGCAGTGCGAATTAGGGCATCGTCGCGAGCTGTGAATTAGGGAGGGAGGGCGAGCTGTGAAAGGCAGCGCTGGCGCGCGGTGCTATCGCAGTGTGCCGACGGCGGCCTTGAAGCTGCGATTTTGGGCAGAGAAAGAGAGACAGAGAGAGAATGAGTGAGAGATGGAGAGAGAGGAACGTGAATTTAGAGTTGAAAATTATTTTTTTTTGGGTTGGGCTCATAATATTATTATTAATATTTAATTAAATATAAAAAAAACCAGTATTTATATATAAAATATCGTATTTTTAAAAATTAAAATTTAACATCTGACTTTTTAATTTAAATCTTGAAAATAGGGATTCCAGTAATTTCCACGTCCACATGAATACCTAATCAAATGGGTTAGAGCCCTACTCGTAGGAAAGATCTAATCGATCCGCTAGCAACAAATCATTGATTTAGCTTCAGAATTTTACAGAAAGAAAACTATCTTCTTCTTTTGAATTCTCTCAAAATCAAGTTTTTCCAGCTGGGTTCCCAACGAAATCACTTGTTTTCGAGGTATGACCGTAATATTTGCGTATGTGAACTGATATTTTCATCGAAAATAATTGTGGATAAACTACACTACAGCTTTTAATTGACGTTATTGAAAATTATCTGATGAAATGCAAATGCCCTTGTAATTCGCCTGGATTCAAGCCTTGGAATTTCAATTGGGAATAATTCCATTCAGTTTTGATGTGACTTTGCATAAACTCCAATTCCGAGGGTCTAGTTTCATGCTTCTAAGCACAGCTTGAAAAGTGGATTTCATGTTTATTCCAATTATATTACTTCAGAGCAATGAAAAATTGGTAATTTATGAGAATATATAAATCTTGTACTGCATGCTCTAAAATTTGTACTTTCCCTTGGCTAGTATTAGATTTTTGTGATTTTGAACTAACTAGTGGTAATATGGATTAGATGGGGGCTGTCAATTCGGAGCTGGAAGAATTATTCCAGGAGAAAAAGCGAGTTAGGAATCCCTTTGTCCCTATAGGTAAATTTGCTTTCTTTAAATTGCCATATTGCATTCTCTACAAATTTTCTGTTACTTTAGCTTGATGTCTTTACGAAGTGGAATTTTAGCTAAGAATTGTAGAATATGTGATATGGGTGCCATACATTGTTGAATGTGATATATTATATTTTTTTGTTGAATTCTGAATTGTCATTCTTATAATGCCTTGAGTACTTGATGCCATCCTTGCTTGAGATTTGCTATCATTTCCCCGTGCAAAAATATTCTAGTACCACAAGGATTCGCGAACATCACATTCTTGGCTCAAGACTCAATATTTATACCCGAATTTGTAGTAATAACTACATAATCAAAGTTATGGAGATTTGTCTTGTATCAAGAAGCAGGGCACTTTAAATCATGTTATTATTGCTCTTTGAAAATGTACATGCTCCTGTATTTGGGGAACTCTGCAGATACAAGAATATAAGAAACTTCACATTGTCCTTTGTCATATACCTAGTCATAGTTTCTTCTTAAGCCACCAATTTGGAGTCAAGAAAGTTGCTTCCTGGGTATATCCTAGCTCTCGATTCACTTCTTAGAAGTGCAGGCTAAATTATTTGATTTCCCCGGCTGATTGATTACAAATGCAGTAGGGACCTCAATTATCATTAGTAATATTATGGAAAAATTTGCTGATATATTGAATGTAGTGCCAATTTTCTTATAATTCTTATTTGCAAATAATTCTTAATTTCTAGATTGCACTGTCGCGGTCCAATTAGACAGCACAAACTTGATTGGTTTCTCCAATTGTCAAATTTTCTTTCCAACGGTTAAATCTAGATGGGTTGTGTAGTGGTGACATCACAGTTAATTGAGTCAAGCTACAGAATGTGTCATTCTTCTCAACTCAGCTCAGCTCAACTTTAATAAATCTAGATGTACACTTTTGAAAGAAATTTTAGGTGCTGGCGACAGAAGCTTTACTTTGAGTGTGCTGCTCTTTTATTGCAATATTGGAGTTTCAAAGATTACCACTTTTGGGTGCTAATGACATGGATTTTAGACAAAAATATGATCATTCACTACGAAATTGGGATGGATGCTGAAGGAAGTATCTCCCAGTTGGGCTCTCCTAAAGTTTTTTTTGTCCATATTAGTATCTACTTCTAGAATTTTCATATTAATTTTTTATGCGACATGTTCACCAAGCTTTTCCTGCTTCAGAACCTATGTAAATGGATTTAAGCCAACTGGTCCAGCTATTCCCTAATGCACCCCAACTTTTAACAATATCTATAAATATTATAGTTTTACCTACTAAAATTTAATCATAACATTTGAAATTATTTAGTTAATCTCTAAAATGTAAGAATGTGTTTTAATTTAATTGTTTAGTTTTTTTTTTTTCATCATTTGATCATTATGAATGGTTAATGAATGTTATAAATTGCTCGCAACAAATAAAACTATAATGATTTATAATTCATACTATTTTTTTTTTGAGATTATTACTTATCCAAAATAAATTTTCTAAATGGGAAATATCCATGCTAGCTCCTGTTCTTAACGGGGTGGGGATGGGAATTACAGAACCAGTCCCGGTCTCCCCACTACCATTCCTACATGTTGCCTATGGTGTTCAGTGGTCAGTTTGGAGAGGATTGGTCAGTGGATCTTGTTAGTATAATGCTTATATTTTGTAATCATTTGGTAGCGGAAGACAAATTATCAGTAAATAACCGTTAAGGATGATGTCAATGAGGTGATTGTTCCATTTAGGCAATGTTGGTGATTCCTGCAATGTCCTTTCTGGAAAAAGAGGTTCAAGGATAGTACTAAACTACTTTTTTATTTCTGAGGTAATGTACTTTGGCAATGTTGTACTTCCTGAAAGAAGCACTATGAAAGAACAGTTATTCATAGGATTGTGATCTACACGAGCCAGAATTTGGGCAAATGAACTTGCTTTTGTCAAATTTGTGTTTCTGCTAAAAGGAAACTCAGTTCCAATATTAGGATAGGCATAATGCGTGTAATATTATTATATTGAAGAATGTGTGATTGAAAAGAAGAGAGAGAAATATGTATTTTGGAAATGATAGGGATCAAACAATGGCAAAATGTTTCTACCAGGTCATGCCATCTGTCATATACTAGTTATTATTTTTGTTTTTGATATCGAAGGTTTCTTTTATAATTCACTTCAAATATGTTCGAGGGCCTTTGTATTTCAGGTGCACTCATTACAGCGGGAGTACTCACAGCAGGTCTGATTAGTTTCAGACAGGGAAATTCTAACTTGGGTCAGAAACTAATGAGAGCTCGCGTGGTCGCCCAAGGTGCTACTGTGGCTCTAATGGTTGGAACAGCTTATTACTATGGGGAGAAATTTTGATGTTCTCTTCACATGAAGAATAAATTCCTTTCTGGCTTCTTTATTTTCTGTTTCTATTGTCCTTTTAGGCACAGGAAGGTTTGTGTATGTTACACGTTCTATATATTTTACAATTTTGATGTCAGGCATATGGTTATTGCTGTCTATCAAAGTTGAAATGTTCAGAAACACAATATTCTGTTTTAAGACATGAAGAAAAATTTCGTTTACAAGAAAAAGTCGATTGGTCTATTTTTGTGACGTTTTGTACTATGATTCTTAATTCTTCTTTTGGCTGCACGATAGTTGTTTCTCTTGTTTTTGTCAATTTCTCAAGGCAACTAAGGATATTATGTTTTTGAGAATATTTTGTCAGCTAACTGAGATTGATTCAGAATCACTGTTGGAAGATTGTGATTTTATCCTCGTGAAAACTATGCAATTCTCGTTCCAATTGTAAAATACAAGCCACCGACTCTGGTGGTTGTGAATCTTGAGACCAACTATGTATCTACTCCATCTATGTACTCTTAGAATAATAGAAAAGAGTTCATGTCTCATCTGTAGATTCTAATCAAGTCTCAGGATTACAATATGTTTATTTGTAGTGATCGATGATGATGAATAGGTTTTTATTATGGTCTACTTGAGACTAGGTGAATCATAAATCTTATATTTGGAATAAAAATTCAATACATATAAGTTATTGTCTCATGTACAGAAGCACGTGCAATTGACCCCAGTAAACGTTACATTTGTAGTATTCATTCATTGCTCCTAGACAAATCATAGTAAAAAGGGGCAATGTTTGGCGAATAGAAAATTGAATTGACAGGAAAAAGGGAAATGGAAAACGAAAGGTGAATGTTCTGTTATGTTGACATATTACAGAAATGAGATATATATTTTTTTTCTTTTTCCTTTTTTTTTTTTTTAACAAATCTTGAAAGATGGTGCCATGGTGGTTCATATGGTTATAGTAATTTTGAAATCCGATTTATTATTATTATTATTATTATTATTATTATTATTATTATATTTTTCAATTTTTAGCTTTGATGCTATATTCAGTAATAGAGTTCTCCTTTTGAGTTATAGGGAATTGTTACGACTTAGCATTAGTAGTTCATGATGGAGGTGCAATCAACTTTTATGATGGGGATATGATCTTTTATTTAAAGGTACTCTCGATAACAGATTCAGTAGTGATAAGGTAGAGACCTGTAATATGTAAAGTTATGTTTGTATTATTAGACAATTTTAAAGTAGGCAGATTCAAACTTGAAAACTCGTCCAAGTTTCCCTCATTCGGATCTATCCCTATTTTCAAGTATATCTCTAAATTTTACACTTGTCCAACAGTTTCAGTATCAACTCGAAGAAGGGATCTCTCTTTTTGATACAAGGAAAAGGGCCTCCTACTCTAATACTAACAAAATAAGATTATAAACCAATTTGTTCAAAAACTAGTGTTCATAACACAAGTACAATTCACATTGTATCATCCATGATCAAGCCCGACAATTTCCCCCAAACCCACTATCTTTTAATACATTCTCGTTTCAAACATGTCCTGCATTAAAACTCAATATTTTCTTAGTTAAGCAACATGAAATTTTATCCAATGAGAGTATATTATTATCCAAAAGGACCAAAACACATAGTTAGTGATGGAAGCCTGGTATAGGTAGGTCATCTGCAACTACAAAGACCGCGACATTGCTTTGTCATAAAATACTTCATTCATCGTTGCTGATGATTCCTATGGCCTTGTTATGTGGACCCCTCTCTCTACCCCCTTATTGCACTGCGGATCCCACTTCTGTCAGACTCTCTGGGACCCACCGTACATCCCTTCACACAGCACTTCGATTCTGACGCGCACACACTGTCATCAGCTAGCTGGGCTGCAAATCGCTTTCTCAATACACCAAACAATTTCCAATTGTTTTTCTCACTAATACAATTTTTGGGCATATGAATTTGTTTATCCATCTATGACAGTGTGATTGTTCAAACGCATTTTTCTCTTTCTGTCAGCTTCAGTTGGTGGGATTTTTCATAGGGGAGAGAGAGAGAGAACAATTTGAGGGAAAAAGGGGTAACTTTCCACATTCGAGGGAGGAAAAAAAAGAAGGGAACGGGCACCTCATTTCTTCTTCTTTTTCATCTGGGATTGAAATTTGAGATTTGAAACCATTAATTCAAGATTTTCAATCTGTAATGATCTCTGCTCAGGTAATTTGTCTTTCTTCTTCATAAATGTTTTCCCTTTATAAAGATCTCATTTTTCTTTTGGTACTGTTCTCCAGTACATGAAGCTAAAGGAGTACGGGAACATGATATTTTGAAATTTATAAAAGGTTTTTCCAATTAAGTATCTGAAGCTTGAGATTTTTCGTTTGGTATAAATT